AACATTTTTATCATGGGAAAAATTCGTAAAATTAAATGGTAGTATTGATGAGATATAAATGTAGGAGTATCTTAAAAGGCACCCATCCTAAAAATATAGTAAAAGAAGAAAAAAAAAATCCACAATCGTTCTCTTCAAATCTGTACCCTATGTAGTGAATACAGAAAAGGACTCCTACCAAGAACACCTGTTCTTCCAATCTTCCATCTTTCCCTCAATTACAATATTTCTCAACAATACAATATTTATTCCTGTTCTCCTTCTCCAATAATTCTCACAGGCAACTGCAGCAGCGGCCACAGCAACACCAGGCCAGCAATGTCTTCCAAGAAGAAAAATTTGATAAAGACCTTATGTACTGCAAATGCAGTCTGTGGCTGTGCTAAACCAAAACCCTCCGATGTATACCATCCCAAACCCAAACCCAAACCCAAACCCACACCCAAAAATTTGGTTTCCCAATATCCCAATACTCTTCTTTTCTCTTCAAATTCTGGTCCCCGAAATAATTCTGCCTCTTCTCCTAATGGAAACGTCGACGACATGGATACATCCACTTCTTTCTCCTTCAACGTTGATACCTCCACCCAGTACAACACTGAATCCGAAACCGATATTCCCAGGACTTCAACAGCGATGCTTAGCTCCTCCAGCCCCAAAATCACCGGAAGTGTTGCTATCGTCAAAGATTCCGATGACCCGTATCAGGATTTCCGGCATTCGATGCTGCAGATGATCACGGAGAACGAAATTTATTCCAAGGAGGATCTTCAGGAGCTTCTCCGGTGCTTTCTGGACCTGAATTCGCCACATCAGCATGACGTTATCGTTCAGGCGTTCACGGAGATCTGGAACGAGGTAATATCGGAGAGTCTGGTGGTGCAGAAGCCTTGTGCTGGCCGTCCATGGAGGCTCGCATGAACTCTGCCCGTGGCACGTGTGGCGTGCAACGTGACAGCATGGAGTTCACTCGTCGGGATTGGTCAATTTCAGGCTCACCGGAAGAAAAGAGATTTTTCTTTTTTCTTTTTTTCTAAAAGATGTATGGTCGTTTATTATTATTATTACATTTTTATTTTATAATATAAATTCTATCAAATTATAAAGTAATAACTATTGAATAAAGATGAGACATTTAAAAATTAACTCTCATTCAATAATTATAGTTGTACAATTTTTATTATTTGTATTTTAATGTTCCCGTTCTTGTTTAAGCAGGGAGAAGACAATGAAAAAAATAAAAGAGTAAGTATTTGTTTTTAAAGTTTTAAAAATTCTTATCATGTAGTATACGATAAAAGCGTACTTTTAGTTTTTTTTATTTTATTTATAGATTTTAATTCTTCACCTTGTGTTGTAAAACTTTTAACACTTACTTATAACGAAACTAACAAATAAAATTGAATTTAAATTTTATATTTTTTATAACAGAATGCTAACAAAATTAATAGTCAATTAACAGTTAACTAACATAATATTAAATAAGAGCTATTATATTAATTCGTATAGATAATAAATTAAAACCTATAAATTTATTAAAACAAAATGCCAAAAGTAGGTTTTTTCCAATAATATATAGCATGTAAAATAATTTTTAAAATTAAGGAAAATAAAGAGGAGTACTCAACTAAACCTTCGAGTTTAAATGATTCATCTTAACCTTTAAAACGTTTGAATTAGTTAATTGAAATTTCGAATCTCATTAACGCCTTGAAAATGTCCCTTTCTCTCAAATTGTAAACTCTTCAAACAAAAAAAGAAGAAGAACAAGAAGAAGAAGAAGAAAAAAGAAGAGGGAGAGAGGGGAGTATTGTAAAATCCAAGAAATGCATTTATAATAAAATGTCCTCTTATAAATGCTGGTGGTTGGCCAAAACTTTCGGGCTTTCTTGTGTATGCTAATAAAACAGAGCTTTTGGATTCGGAATATGCAATTCAGTCACTTTCGTTATTCATTACATATTACATATAGTTGTTGGTTTGTTAGATTGTCTGATTCTAGTAAGTTGTTTGTCCTCATTTTAGTAAGTTCTTTTGTTTGATTTTTGAAGTTATATATATATATATATA